TAGCTTATTTATTCTATAAAAGTTTCATTACATTGTATACACTTACATTAGTGGGCATATGTACACTCTTGGGCTGGAGCGATAGCACATCGGTAGGGCATTTGCCTTGCATGTGGCTGGCCTGGCCGAGCCGTGTTAGATTCTTCTGCCCCTCTTGGAGAGCCCGGCAAGGTACCGCGAGTATCTTGCCTGCACGGCAAAGCCTGGCAAGCTACCCGTGACGTATTCGATATGCCAAACACAGTAACAACAAGTCTCAAAATGGAGATGTTACTGGGCCCACTTGAGCAAATTGATGAACAACGGGAGGACGGTTTGACAGTTAGATATATATTCTTAAATTTTGTTTTCATTGAAGGCTTTTCTTCTGCCAATTTCAGAGTGTTTGTGTTCCAAAGAGAGAATTTTGGTTAAGTTATCAAAATTAGAATATTTGAATTTTAATTGTAAAGAATGACTTACATTAGTGGGCATAGAACATTTTATTTTATACTGCATTATATCCATATATGATTCTAATAAGGAATTTTTAAAAACTAAAAATGTGATTAAGGAGGAGAGATCATTGTTTTTATACCTAAACAGATTACCTTTTAGATGAAAAAAATGCTCTTTATCATTTATCATCAGGGAAATGCAAGTCAAAACATCAATAAGATAGCACCTCACTTTAGTGATATAGACACATATCGAAAAGAACCAAATTATCAGTACTGTTGTGGATGCGTGGGAGAAGGAAGCCTCATCCACTGTTGGTGGGAGTGTTCACTTGTCCAACATCTTTGAAAGTAATATGAATTCTTTTTTTTTTTTAAAAAAAACAAGCTTTCATTGACTCTAATTTTTTGGCATCTACCCCAAGGAGCCAAACACAGCTTCAAAAAGATATTTGCACTCCTATGTACAGTGCAGCACAAACAAAATCAGGAACTACCCAGTTTCTAATAAGGGGATAGAAAAACTGGTATGCATTCATAATGGAATACTACTCAGCTGTAAAATATAAAGTCATGCAATTTGCCACTGCACAGATAGAACTTGAAGGTATTTTGCTGAATGATGTTAGAGGAGAGGAAAAGATACAGAATGAAATCTCATATGTGAAACATAAAAAGAATATAAGAGATGAATAAGATTTAAGAATATAAAGGAATAACAATAGCCTAAGGCAACATCCTGAGAAGTGACTTAGAGAACTATCTAATTATAAAAATTCTATTTATGTCAAAGACAAGAAATTGAATCAAATACTAACTACCACTTATAAATCCTGATATGTGATATAGAAAAAATTATGATTGTAAGAACTGTGTCAATATAGTTTTTTGGATGCCTGTTAATGTTTGAAAGTAAAGTCATCATGTTCATAAAATCTAATATGTATTTTTATTACCATTTTGTTGATAGACTATGTTTCTCTGTACTAGTTGTAATAAGAATTATTAACTTTAGAGGAATGGAATGTTTGAATGGGACTGCTTAATGATTTAGATTTTTGTTTCGTTGTGTGGAAAATTTAAACTTGTGAACTTCACTTTCTAGTCCATACTATAAATTTCCACAAGAAAGAATTTGTGACTAAATGAGCCTTTTTTTATAGAAACTCAGTTGATGTTTTTGTGTTTTTAGTCATTACTGAATAACTGATAACATTTTCCCATACCAAACTGAAAATGAAACATTGTTTCAAATACAATTTAAAGGTATAATTATGGCAGATTATTAATAGGCTCATTCTAGAAATTGATATTAAGGAACTTCCATTTTCTAGATTGTATACTGCTAGATATATTGAATTTCTAAGCTAGGAAAATTAAAATTTCCATCAAATGAGTACTTGAGATGGTGTTATGATGAATGAAAGCTACTAAAAATCAAAATTCCACTAAAAACTACATTTCTATGAAAAACCTTCAGATTTTTCTAGCATTTACTTCATGGAAATTAATGGCTTACATCAAAAGTTCCTTTTACCAAAGAGAAAAGACGGGGAAAAGAGCTTAAACTTGAAGTTAGTGTGAAGTATTTTTAGGTTTCTTTTTTTGGGAGATTCATATTTTTGGATACTAACTAAATTTTTATTTTATGTAGAACATGTCCTAATGTAGAGGAAATAAATCATATTTATAAACAAGAATTTTAGGATATCAATATTTACTGATCACAAGAAATTTTTTTAGATTGATTATCAGTTGCTTTGATTTTAATGTTGCCATTATATTATACTGTAAGGTAGTTCTAGCTTTTCACATGGGAAACAAAATTAGAGATGAAGACATAATAAAATTTGTTTCTCCTTTTTCCCTAACCCAGAAGCTAAGCCTTGTATATACAATTATAATCATGTTAAGTTGCCATTCTTCATGAGTATTATGGTAGTTATTCCAGCCCAGGTTACTTTGGTAAATTAATTTTTTGTGAGAATTTACAAAAGGTGTGTACCAGAAAGTAATAAAATAACAGTAGAATACTATCTTCCCTGAATTCTGGGTTCATGCTAGATTGTAGTTCTGATACTTTGTTTTCTAAAAAACAAAAAAATAACCTGATATGAGGGTCCAAGACATTTTGAATTCATTTGGTATTGCTTTATGTATACTTTGGCTTTCATTCATTCATTCATTCATCAAACAGATGTTTATTGAGTACTACTTTATGCCAGGCACTGTTCTGGTTGCTAGGAATATAGCATTTGATAAAACATACACAATTCCTTCTCTCGTGGTGGTCATTATGGAAGGTTTACAAATTAATTTTGCATTTTATTTTTGATCTGTGCTGGAGCGATAGCACAGCGAGTAGGGCGTTTGCCTTGCACGCAGCCAAAATGGTCAACCTGAGTTCGATTCGTCCGCCCCTCTGGAGAGCCCAGCAAGCTACCGAGAGTATCTCGCTGGCAGGGCAAAGCCTGGCAAGCTCCCTATGGTGTATTTGATATGCCAAACACAGTAACAAGTCTCACAGTCTTACTGGGCCTGCTCGAGCAAATCTATGAACAACAGGAGGACAGTGACAGTGATTTTTTTTTTTTTTTGGCTGGAGCGATAGTACAACAGGTGGGGCGTCTGCCTTGCACGCAGCCAACATGGCCGACCCGAGTTTGATTCCTCCCTCCGCCCCTCTCGGAGAGCCCGGCAAGCTACTGAGAGTATCTCGCCCACACGGCAAAGCCTGGTAAGCTCCCCGTGCCGTACTCAATATGCCAAACACAGTAACAAGTCTCACGGTGGAGATGTTACTGGGCCTGCTCGAGAAAATCGATGAACAACGGGAGGACAGTGACAGTGACAGTGAAACACCATGAGGTACAGTTGTAGATTTACAAATTTTTGTGCTTGGGTTTTGATTATACAATGATCAAATACCCATCCCTTCACCAGTGTCCATTTTCCACCACCATGGATAATATCCCTCCCACCCCCATCCCCCCCATCCTCCCCATTCCACTCTGCCTCTGTGGCAGGGCATTCCCTTTTGTTCTCTCTCTCCATTTGGGTGTTGTGGTCTGCAAAAGAGGCATTGAGTGGCAAACATGTTCAGTCCATAGTCTACTTTCAACATTCATCTCCCCTCCTGGGAGGATCCTCCAAACACCCTTTATTTGGTGCTCCCTTCTCTATCTGAGCTGCCCTTTCCTCTAGAATGCCCGGCTTACCTCTAAGCTATAGAGTTATCCTCCTGGTGCTGATCTCAGCTATTCTTGGGTATTAATCTCATATTTTGTTACTTTATATCCCCAGATGAATGCAATCTTTCTATGTCTATCCCTCTCTTTCTGACTCATTTCGCTTAGCATGATACTTTCCATGTCGTACCACTTGTATGTAAATTTCATGACTTCATCTTTTCTAACAGCTACATAGTACCCCATTGTGTAGATGTACCAAAGTTTCTTTAACCAGACATCTGTTCTTAGGCACTGAGGTTTCTTCCAGTTTCTGGCTATTGTAAAGAGTGCTGCAATGAACAAACAAGTGCAGATGAGTGACAGTGATTTTTGATCTGGTTGTAATACATTGATTTGTGTCCTGTGTGATGGTATATATGTATTATATTATAAAGTATATACATATACAATTAAAAACAACTTTTAGTTGAATTGTTGCATCCCTATCTAGGTATGTTAGCCATCTTCAGAAAATCACTTGCGTTTTTAAAAATTGAAATGATGCTATAATGAAGTTTTTATTACTTACCTTAATTGTTTAGAGTATAATATTTATAAAATTATTAATCACTGATTTTTTTTTTTGGAAATCAGATACCTTTTTTTTTAAGGAAAAAGAATTGTTTCTTATATGTCAGCCTTGTAAATCCTAAAGGAATCTTGATGAAATTTTGGTGCAAGTTAATACCATTTGTTTTCATTATTAATTAGTGCTCAGTAGGAATAAATCTAGTTTAATAGTGTTTACTCATTTTTGTACTTTTATTTTAAGCATGATCAATCTTTTTGTTTTTCTAAAACTGTCACTGTCACTGTCCTCCCGTTGTTCATCGATTTGCTCGAGTGGGCCCAATAACGTCTCCATTAGAGACTTTGTTGTTACTGTGTTTGGCATATCGAATACGTCACGGATAGCTTGCCAAGCTCTGCTGTGCAGGCAAGATACTCTCGGTGGCTTGCCGGGCTCTCCGAGAGGGGTGGAGGAATCGAACTTGGGTCGGCCATATTGGCTGCGTGCAAGGCAAGCGCCCTACTGCTGTGCTATCGCTCCAGCCCTTTCTAAAACTAATTTAATAAATATTAACAGTTAAGTATGTGGTTTGATTAAAGGCATATAAAAGTGATATTATTTAAATGTTAACATGTAATTTAAATTTACATACTTTTTATAGTTGCTTCTTAAATTTGGTTGAAGGATTAAATATTTAAAATGTTATTTTCCTGATTCCATATATTAGAATCATAGTATGTTCCATGATGGAACAATTTGGTAATGGATTTGGAATAATGTTTTTAAAACATTTATTTTCCTGTTTCATTTTTATTTTTTTAGGTGGCAGCCAATGCACATATTCCTCCAGACTACCTCCTTAAAATTTGTGAGCGAATTGGTCCCTTACTAGATAAGGAGATACCTCAGAGTGTTCCTGGGGTGCAGACTTTATTAGGTGTTGGTCGGCAGTCTCTGTTACGGGATGCCAAAGGTAAGATTTTCATTCTCTTTTGAAGAAGGAGTGGAGAACATCATGTTTTTATGTTAAGTAAATATTCCCATACTTTTCTAACAATTTTCTTATAATTTTTATTTTGCTCAATATATTTTTAATTTTTAGTATAAAAATGAATTTTTAGGGACAGAAAAACTTTTCTGTTGAACAGTGAATACCATAAAATAAACAATATAAAACCTCTTTGTAATCTTGTGGGATATCTGAAGACCACTGCTATGATTTGTCCAGTATAAATGCTTAAAGTATATTTAATTATATTATAATGTTTTTAATCTTATGAGTCTTGATATCATCCTAATCACACTGTATATTTTATAATAGGTGAATGAGAATTCTGTGTAAAATATTTGAGGGAGAACTTCCATAAAAGGAGGTTCTCTGGGACTTCTGGCAATGCTTGCATAGTTCGGTGATATACCTGGTGACACAGTGCTATTTATTATCTTCAGGCCCACCATGGCTATACCCACAATGCTCACTGGGCAAGCAAAGTTAGGGATAGAACCTGGAATCTGGTGCACACAAGACTCTTTGAACTGTCTCATTTACTCTATGTAAAAGTTTTTGTAATTTAATATATTTAAATGAGAAAGCCTTACTGCTACCAGTAACTATTCAATAATAATTTCTCCACTTTCCTGTTTTTTAATCTTTTTGTAGATTTTTCTCAAATTCTTAATATTACAATTTGCATGTGTCCAAAATATAAAGTATTTTTAACATGAAATTGTGAATTTAGGTGTTAAGGATATTATCCTTGTAATGTAACAAATAAACTTCAGCTATTGCAACCACTATGTATTTCTGTTTTGTTTTATTAAAATAATGTTTTTAAAATCCTAATTTAAAAGGATACTTATGAATGATACCTGCTTTTAAATATCTCATTTTATAATTTAAGGAAATTCTTCAATTCAGTTATTTTGTAATCTTTTAAAAGTAGTAGAATATTTTTAGTTTCAGTGTTGAGCCTTTTGAAATATTTCACATTTACTTGAAATTTTTGACATGAGCATTAGACAGAAATCATGACTATTAATAAATCAATTAATTATTTCATATGTGGTATTGTTATCTTTTATGGCACATCTGGCAGGTACTCCATAACATAAGCATGCACCAAGTATAAATATGTCTGAATTTTACCTGGCATACTTGTGCTGTTGTCATTTCCTTGCTTATAGGGCTTCATATGAATAGATTTGCATAAGCAATCAAGAAGGACCAATGTAACTTAAAACCTTATTAATCCATGTCATCTTTACATGAGATTCAAATATATGCATAATAAAAGCTTCAGTTCTAGATCAGCACAGAAATAAAATATCTTGATGATATTAAGGTATTGGTGTTTATTAGTCATAATTTAGTTTATTGGCATGCTTTAAAAGATATATGCATGTTATGTCTTACTGTTTTTTAAGAATTTTATAGGGCATTATCTTTTTTTGTCTTTTAAATTTATTTTTATTGACTTATTTACATACTGAAAAATTTCAGGATATAGCATAAACACTTCTATATGTGTATACACCTCACTGCACTCACCACAAAGAAAAACCTGTTACCTATTCTCTCCACTCTCTTCCCCTTCTCTCTGATAATTAATTACTGTAATTCTCACCATGTCTAATAATTTTATTGTTTTGCCAGTTTGTTTGCTTTAGTTATTTATATTCTGCCAATGAGTGCATCCATCTGGTAATTGTCTTTGACTTCCTTCCTTTTTCACTTAACATAATCACCTTAGTTTCCATTCATTTTGTCCTAAAGGAACAATTTCACTCTTTTTAAATGATAGAGTAGTAATTAATTGTGTATAGTGGCACAGCTTTTTTGTCTAATTATGTTGATGGACACATGTTAATTCCATGTTTTGACTATTGTGACTATTATGTTAAATGTATTTTAACAAATTAACTTAAAAATAACTTTAAATAGAGATAGAGTTAAAAAATGTTCTGTTACTCAACTAACTATTGAATCTTTTGTATAGACTGTAAGAATACACTATGGAATGGGTCTGCTTTCGCAGCTCTCCATAGAGGCAGACCTCCAGAACTACCTGTAAATTATGTGAAACCTCCAAATGTGGGTGAGTAATATACATGTGGGTTATAAAACTATTGAGTTGTTCCTTTTTGAACTCAAAATAAAATTAGATCATTCACAACAAAATTTTTAGTCTAAAATGCTTACAGTTTTTTTTATGTAGGAGTACTGCTATTTATTTAGCCACTGATTAGCTGATTGAATTGGGCATGAACTCCACCTTACTTTTTTTTCATAATTTTATTTATGTATTTTTCTTCTTATTTATTGAATCACTGTGGGAAGAGTTACAAAGCTTTCAGGTTTAAGTCTCGGTCATACAATGATCAAATACCTTTTCCTTCACCAGTACTCATTTTTCACTACCAAGAACCTCAATATACCCCCCTCCCACCCCTCCCAATGCCTGTGAGGCAGATGATTTCCACTTAACTCTTCAATACATTGATTACATTCATTATTTTGACAAAAGATGCACCATTATTGTTTAGAATTTCCCCCAACAATCAGAATTGCTGAAAAGGCATTGTGAAATACTTTGTCTTCTATATAAAATGCTTACAGTTTTGAAGAGTCTTATGGTTGGTTCAGATATTTCTATTTTAAGTGTATTTTTGCTTTTTTGGACCACAACTGGCAGTACTCAGGGTTTACTCCTAGATTTGTACTCAAGAATCACTCCTGGCAGTTCAGAGAACCATATATAATATATAGGATTGAACTGGGGTTGGCTGTATGCAAGGCAAGCCACTGAACCATGTTTTTACTGTATCTCTAGTCTTAGGCACTTATTTCTTAATTGATATGTCTCTGAATTTTATTATGGTACCAGGAAATGAACTCAGGACTTGATACATGCAAATCGTGTGATTTGTCATTGTGCCACATCCCTAGCCTTTTGGTCCAAATTTTGATTTTGTTTTGGAGCTAAACGCAACAGTGCTTAGAGAGCAACTCCTGGCTCAGTGCTTGTGGTAACTCAGGGGACCATGAAATGAAGCTTGAACTCAAGAATCCTGCATGCAAAGCATGTAATCCAGCTCTTTAAATTGTCTGCCTGATGTGGGCCAGATTTTTAAAACAGTATTTCTTTTTCTCCTATTTTTCTTATTTTTAGTGAAGGAAAATAGTTTTATTTAAAGACATTTACTTAGAGAAATGTGAGGAGAGAGAATGTGGACTTCTCAGAAGGGAAAAAGGCAAAAGCATTATATTTTGGTTTGTTGAGGCACCCCCAGTGCTCAGGGCTTCCTACTGGATCTGTATTCAGGATTTACTCCTGGAGAGGGTTGGGGAACCATATGAGGTGCTTGAAATTGAGTGCAGGTTGGCCACATGCAAGGCAAGTGCCCTACCTTCTGTACTGTCACTCCAGCCCCAGCAGTATTTCTCAAAGAAAGTATAATTATGATTTTGTAGAAGGGAACCTTTTTCTCTTTATTTTTTGAATCTTAGCACCTTGCATTCCTTTTTAAAATAATGCTACAGATATTTTGTTTTTACCATATGGACATCTGTTTACGTATCTATGTACTAAGCTTCTTAAAGAAGGAAATGTATACATATAGCCCCTGGAAGAAAACAAAAGTTTATTCTGTTTGTATCTTCCCATAAAACTTCTAATGTATAAATGCTGTATGTATTTCTTTATAAAAACAAAGAAAATCATTCCTACTTCTAGTTTACTGAAATTCTCACTTCTATTTAAATTATTCTTGGAAAATCTTACTATACTATTACAATGAATTAGTAGTAGTTTGATTCCTGAGACCTAACTACAAAAATCTATAATACAGTTAACTAATACAAAGTACTTATAAAGCCAAGCACTTAATAGCTGTTACTCTGCTTTCTTATTTTCTTATTCTTTAAGATATTTAAGATATATAAGTTACTTAGTTAAATTTGATATAATTTGATAATAATGCTCTTCATAGTATAATATCTTGCATACCATTGTGTTGGGTCTAATCAGACATGAGTCTTCCAACACTTTTTTTTATTTTTAGATATTTTCTTTGTCCTCTAGAATTTTCCAGTGTTCAGTTTTTCCCTCAAAACCAATATTTATTATTATTTTATTAAAGTGAATTGAGACAACTATTATTAATATTTCATAGTTAATATATATTACATATATAATGTAATACATATATTATATATATTCAAGGGGCTGTAGACATAATACAGAGGATAGGGCACTTGCCTTTTTTATGTCTGACCTACATTCTATCCCTGACACCCCTGAGCGTCTCTAGGAGTGATACTTGAATGTGGAACCATGAGTAAGCCCTGAGCAATGCTAGGTCTAGTCCAGAAAACAGTGAAGTGTTACATATTCAACTTTATTGTCAACATTATTTGTAATGCTTTAAGCTTTATTCAGTGGTCATAGGGAAAGCACTAAAGAGTAGTCTTTGTAATGTTAGATTTTGAATCTTTATTTTTTTTCTGGTTACTTTTTTATTTAGCTAAGCATATTCATTCAGACTTCTGGTTTTGTAGGATAATTTCGTTAGTCTGACCTGGATCACTTTGTTGTTCTTATTCCTTAGGATTTTTGGTGTCCCTGTTATTGTTGCTTTTAGATTCTTTTCATTTGCTTGTTTGATTTAGATTTTTGTCACATCTGGACTTGCTTAGGGCTTACTCCTAGCTCTGTGCTGAAGGATCATTCCTGGCAGAGCTAAGGGGATCATATTGTGGTATGGGAGACAGGTATCATGTAAAAAAAGCACCTTACCTGCTGTTCTGTTTCTCTGGCCCCACTTTCACTTTCAGGTCTGCCATGTTATTTGGAATGAAGCTATTTGAATAAAGATAATTTAGTCATGACACATTCTCATGTAGTATATACTAATTAAAATAGCTTATTTTTAATTTTAGTTTTGATTCATTTGGAAACTGAAAAAAATTCAGAGGAGTTGACTAGAGTGAATACAACATATCATTTTAAAATTTGTGTTTTGAGATATTTTTCTCATAGTAGATATTTTTCTCATAGATATTTTTCTCATATTTTTCTCTATACAATGTTTAAAATCAGTTTTATAGTTTCCCAGATTAAATAAACGTAATGAAGGTAAATATGGTAAATTTTATCAGTGAAATCATAGAGATAGAAAGAACTTAAGCAAAAATCTTGAAAATAATTTTTTTGGGGGGCTGAGTGTTAGTATAGTAGGCAGGGTGTTTGCACTGCACATAGCAAACCGACCCGAGTTCAATCCCACCATACTATATGGTTCTCCCAAGTAACACCAGAACTAATTCCTGAGTTCCGAGCCAGGAGTTACTCCTGCAGATCACTGGGTGTGGCCCCCCATTATTTTATTAAATAAATATGGGAAGCACTGAGTTGAAAATATGGGGACTAGAAGAATATTTTCTCAAGCAATGAATATTGCTCCAAGCTTTCAAATGCTATAATGCATTGTAGACCACCTTATGGAGAACAATTCATAACCAACTTGATTACAGAAACATTTTTCTGAGAATATTTATAACAACTATACACTTTTCTGAATAAGGGATTTGGAAAACTATATGGTAAAACTCCTATTTACAACAGAAAAATTCAAATCCCAGAGATATTTCTGATTTTCTTTAAGATAAACAGTAGCAATCTATTTCTAAACTGTGCCACATGTCAATAAGTCTATGCTTAGAGAGCCCCAAAGGTAGAGAATTAGACACATTCTTCTATTTTTTAAAATTATATCATGAAACAAAATCCCCTTATTAAGTGTACAATTCAGTGAGTTTTGAAAAATGTATACATTTGTGTAATCACAAGCATAATATATTGAATACTGCTACTATGCCTAATATTTTCTTCTTGTCCACTTACAGTCATTCCCCTATTCTTTTACGAATTTCAGGATAAAAATAATCTTTCTGTTACTGTACTGTTGCATGCAGATTAATCACTGAAGTTACAGTGTAGTCTATTGTGTATAGTTTATTGTGTTTATCTGATTTTACTTAGATCATTTCTTATTTATTTGTGTCATTTTATCTCTTAGTATTTCATTCCTTTTTAATGTTAAATAGTATTAAATTATGTGGATATATGCAACATTCTCTCTATTCATCCAAGTAATTTGACATTTGGGTTGTTCCAGATATTAAGTATCATAAAGAAGCTCTTTATATTCTTGTTATAACTCTAGATAAATCCCTGTTTTCTTTTCACATTGGTTAAACATCTACATCATTGCCTTGTTGGGATTATATGATTAAATGAAAGTGTAATTTTATAACTAAGTGTGAAACTATTTAAAGTGATTGACTCACTTCACATTTCTATCAGCACTGTATATGATTTCCAGTTGGTTCACATATATACTGGCTTCAGTACTGTCAGTTTTTCATTCTTTTATGTACATATTTGTCACCTTAGTATTTTCATTTCTGAGCTACCTATTTGTGCTTTTATTTCTATAAAAATTTCTCTTGAATTTTGAAAGTTATTTATGTATTTTGGATACAATTTAAAAAAAATATATTCTCCCAGTCTGCAGGTTGTCTTTTAGTCTTCTTAACAGTTTTTCAAAGAAGAGAGCATTTAATAAAGAACAGTAGATCTGTTTGTTGGAGTTTGTGCTTATTTAGTCATATCTGAAAAATTTTTGCCTGTAAGGAGGTAACAAAGCTTTTCCATGTATCTTCTTCGAGAAGCTTTATAATTTTTGACTTTATATTAAGATATTTGATCCATTTGTGTTATATTTTATACAATGGTCAGGGTCACGGTCCTCCCGTTGTTCATCAATTTGCTCGAGTGGGCCCAGTAACATTGTGAGACTTGTTACTGTGTTTGGCATATCAAATATATCATAGGTAGCTTGCCAGGCTTTGCCATGTGGGCGAGATACTCTCGGTAGTTTGCCGGGCTCTCCGAGAGGGGCAGAGGAATTGAACTAGGGTTGGCCATGTTGGCTGCGTGCGAGGCAAACACCCTAACCGCTGTGCTATTGCTCCAGCCCATTTTATACAAACAATGAAATATTAAGTTAACTTCTTTTTTGTGAATGGATATCT